GTGGAGGTACTGGTGCTACCCAACCCATCTGACCTTGTTTCCTTGCAGGCATTAAGTATTGTAATGTCTTTATCCACTGTAGCAACATCTTGACCATTGCTTGCAATTTTCCACTTTAACTCGCACAGTTTGGAACCTACATTTTTTAATACCGCACCAGCAATGTATGCAACAGATTCCTGTTCAGCATCTGACAAATCCAAATCATTTACCAGAGCAGTAGAATCACATTGTAGATAGGTTTTTGCTACAGCCTGTTGTAGATAAAACAGAAACCATGAACAGAAGTCAGATGTAATACCACGAGCATCAATTATTGACTTCGTAATATTCTCATCGGTCCATATCTTGTTGAATTCCTCCCACATTGCTTCTCTTGCAGTAGTTATAAAACGTGAAGAAAACTTCGTACATGTTTTTTCGAGTCTTTCCTTCAAATCATCTGACGGAAAAGCAGGTAAAGGTTTTTCCAACAAACGACTTATTTGATGCCTGTAGAGAGCATTCAACATTTCATTTTTCTTCATCTGAAGTAAAGCATCCTTCGCCAAATCACGTATATTTGCCAGGATGACCTTTTTTTTCCTCAATTTTCTAGCTTTCTTTGGTTTACCCTTCGGCTTTTTGAATTTGAAAATTGTTTGAGCATCTGTGGTGGCAATTTTCTGGTCGGAAGTTAAAGTTTCGAGACTACATTCAGTAGTTTCACTTGAAGATTTTCCAATTCGAACTTCGACGTTTTTTTCGTCACAAAATGCGATGGGAAAAGCCTAAATTGATATGTGGTAAAAATAATATGGTAAACAAAAACTGAAGTGTGAATTGTGCTAACTTTTACATATTTCCCTCCAACAACATGAAATATAAATAATTTTATACATAAAATCACACTGATCAGACTTCGCATGCCAGTGTCAGTGAAAAAATAAATCGCTACACTGTATTTATTATATTATCTGAAATGATAAAAGATGTGTAAATTTAGCAGCAAACCTTACCTTCTCAATTTCAGCTTCATCACTTGATAATACATCAATAGTAAAATAACTGAAGTCCATTATATTTCTATTTTCTGAGAATTGCCAATATATTTCTTATAAACCGGAAATGTTGCTTGCACAACTTGCATTGTTTGTGGGAAGCCACAAGATATAACCGGAAATGGCTTTGATGTATGCCGGCATTCCAATCCATCCTACCTCCATTATCTATGGTATGAAGCCAGAGTTCGAAAACATTCCGAAGTACTGTAAAATGTAATGAAATCGACAACTTGACCTTGCCCTTGAGACCTTGTACTGCCTCAGCACTGAAATGTTTTTTGACAACGATAATTTACCAGTGTTTCTTAAATATTTTCCTTGTTTAACCAGTAGAAGCGAACGTACAAGTGCATCAGAAGACTAAGCGAGAGTTTTGTGTAGAAATGCTCTGTTTACGGGAAGTTTTTTTTGCATTCGCCAGCGTCAGCAAAACTGCGGCATCAAGTTCACAGTTTGATTATCATAGCGATAGATAAAAGCTTTGAAAATTCAATTGAAAACATTTTAAACCACCTGTATTTGTATAGAATACTGTATATAGTTGTATTAACATTGAACTTCTTTCTGTTTGAACCCAAATTTGTACTTGTTTTGCGTTTGACAAGGCTGTCAAGCTCGCGACGATTGGCTTTTATACCTCAGTCAGGCATGACTACAGATTTAGCGTGTCACAGTGTCTTCTTGTTTGTGTCAAGATTATAATATTCTATTGCTGTTCAAACGAGATATCCTATCCACTGGAAACGTAGAGTACATTTTACTTTGTCTTTGTCTCAAGCAAAAAAAGTATAAAGATTAAACAGGCATTCAAAAATATACAACAACCACGAACTTCTCGTAATATTTCTTCGGGGAAATCTTCAAGTTTCAATGGAAAGCTGGCGCATGCGCAACAAATTTCCCAGCTGTTCTCAACCACTGAGCTATAAATATATGGAGAGCGCAACTATAGATACAGAAATTGAAGCCGGAAGTCGCGCGCGGCCGCCATCTTACTGTGACCACCTTGAGGAGTGAGCTATTGTGATTAATACGGTATTTTCAACTGGTTTGTTCTGTTATCTCGCAATAGAGGAACAAATCAAGTCAAA